GCCTTCTTTTTTCAAACAAATTCTCTTCTTTCGAATTGATGGCGGGTTAATGTGAAGTTTAAAAAGTCACGTCGTTAAACTCAGGGAAACTTTTGAGGGGACGACCCATTACACCGAACTGGTTTTGGATTAGGGGATCATTCTAAACTGTTTGATCAAGCTTTTAGACGACCCATTACACCGAACTGGTTTTGGATTAGGGGATCATTCTAAACTGTTTGATCAAGCTTTTAGGGTCGACCAAAATTGTAACGCGTCATGTCTAGGATAGATCAAGATTTGTAATCCAGATTTGATACCTGATGGCTCTGAATCTTGGACATGAGACGATACAAATTGTATTAGAGCAGTATCTCTCCCAGTAAGATGTGGTTTGAAAACGAACTAATGTGAAAGTTGGTAGGTATGTGACACCCGAGCAAATGAGGGGTACATGAATGAATCGAAACCACTTCCAAACGAGAGGGATCGTGAGGATATGATAGCTAAGAAATACTTTAGAACATTGATAGTCACTCCATATAAGGTTCATTTTCCTTTTCGACAGCACAATTATAACAACTTCACGGTTAGGTATGTTTTGCTTGGAGCAATTCTATGATGCACGCAACCTGTGGAGAATTTTTCTAGGACGCATGTGAGCAAGGAAAAAAACATGCAGGAAGAACTCGAGTTAGTTCGTGGGAATAGCTTTCACTCTTAGAAACAAAGAGTAGGCAACGTGACCATGTCAAATCCTAGACATGAGTCGTTACAAAGGTTTGGGAGTCACACTCACTCATGGTCAAACAAATTCACTGTCGATCCAACGTACTAATATAGTTACATAAGCAAAGTAAAAAGTAATATAATCCAAAAAATGTATAAACAACCTACGTACCATAATTAAAATTTTTAATACTACTCGTAATTCAACACTACGAACCTAATAGCCATTTGGTTTCAAATTCCTCCCATAATTCTTCATTAATCATAAATTTTTACATGCTTATCACAACCTTCCCTTTTAGTCATTTGGGTTTTAGTATTGAAAGTAGATGAGCAGTTCATTTTTACCTCAAACCTTTTCTTGATGAAACCAACTATTTTGACCCTTCCTGGCATTTTCGTGTGCCTACTGATATTCAAACCTCCCGACTTCAAATCCTCCATCAAACTCAGACCCTCATCCATTTCCTCCGCCTCGATCTCCACCGTCACATTCGTCGCCATCGTGTCCTTTGCCTTCGTCAATCCGCCGGCATCTCCCCCTCTCCAATCACCTCGTCGTGGTAGTAAATCACCGTCGTGGCTTTTGAGTATTTGAGCGATGCGACATTAGGATTCCTCACGAAGAAACTAGCCACAACGAGTATGCCACCGTCTGAGAAGGAAGAATGGTGAGTTTTAAATGATTATTAAGATAATTAGATGAAAGTTTTGGTGTTATGGATCACTCATGGACTAAAGATAGTACCCCCAACACTTAAACAAATGCTTCCACATAATCGAGAGAGTGAATCAAGGTTAATTGGTTGCTTCTCAATCTAACCCTCCATTATAACAAATCAAACATTTATATATTTCTTTAGTTAGAATTTGAAACTAAAGCTCGTTTCTTGCGGATCCAAATTCTAAAGCACCAATACCATACATAATGCTACATCCCGTATCAGGGCAATGTGTCAAATCCGAGGATAAAGGAGAAGTTTAACTCGGCGATTCTGCCACTCCGAACCAATGGAACCATAGTGCAGATGCAAGTCCGATGAAGTTGTTGTCCTACGGGCAGCGTTTGAAATCCGTCGGAGATGGAAAAGCACCGGTGGTATCCGACGAATGCTCTGGTGATGGAAGCAATTGGACGGTGGCTTCGAAAGCAAATCTCCAATTGGCGAACAAAATTTTTGCTTGGAGAAGGAATCTGGTACTTCAGTTGTTGTGAAGAAATGCATTTGCTTTAAAGACGAGGGAAGTTGCATGGATGATCCTCAACCCCAACGGTTCAAACTTGTTCCAACAAATGTTGCTTGGTTTATTAATTAGTTTAAAATGGGAATTGAGAATTTGGTCCAATATACTAGTAGTTGTTGGAATTTGAATTTAGTGTTGGCAGGCAAGTTTTGAAAATGCCGGAGTCATATTAGGGTTGTCGATTTTATGCTTAAATTCGTAGTTAAATGGTCAATAATTTTTTTCTATTGTTTATTATATGTCCAATCTTTTATACGATCATTATTGTTCGTATTATTTTCCGTATATGTTTGTACGATAAATAAAATCGGTTATAATTAAGCACGAGCATGAATAGAATTAGAGATAAAATAGGGGCCAATTCAAAGTCGGGCATGTCATATATTTATTCTTCCCAATACATAAGCAACTCACAATGTGTTGGTTTCAACGAGTTCAAACCATTGACTTTGGGTGTCTTCGAGGCAAGTTGGAGCACCATCAGTGCAAATACAAGAGTTTGTCACAATTTTTGAAGAATTAGAGTTTTCAACCTGCAAGCAAAGGCTCTTCCCATCTTGAGTTATGGTGGCCAAATGAAGCTTAGTGTTTGAAATGGCTCTCCAAGAACTCTGAGGGCCGAAGCAATCTGTTGAGAGAGATGGCATAAGGCCTTCTCCGCTTGTTTTTAAGCATAAACCAGTGCTTGACATCCTAATTGGAGTGCTATCATTGTCATGAGTCCATCGACCTGAGTTGGAGCAATTACCCATGAACATATCTTTGTTGTCATTTGAGACTTGGATGCATTGGCCACTTTGTGGATGATATATAACATACGAGAACGATGCATTGGAATTTGGATCTGTGCGCCGTAAAAAAATGTCTTTTACACTTGTTATAGATCCATATATTCAAAATCGTTAATATATTTATACTTACCTTGCAACATAGTCTGCAATAGTTGAAACTTCTGGACAAAGTTTGGATTTTTAATTTGAGTCCAATTGGAGTCGAGAACTCCAAAAGTTTCTGCCGGGCCTGCCTGACCTTCCCTATAATAATAGCTACCTTGCCAAGTCCATAATGCCCAATCTAAATCTTCTTGTGCAAGATGAGCTGTGAAGCAACTCATGAACCGATTTTCTGCATCGTTAACCTCTCTCTGATCGTACCCATATTCGCTGACAAACAAAGGAAATGGGTTTGGTCCTTCTCTAACAAATTCAGCATGGTCTACAAAGCCATTGATAATATCTGCACAAATATTATTTAGTGGCTGGTTTATAAATTTACTCTCTGCATCTCCACTGAACGAATACAAGTGCACCTCAAAAACCAACTTGTTGTCTAAGGCGCTTGCATTCAAGGGCTTCTCTTTTAAGCATCGAAGATCATTATCAAAATTTAGGCCCGAAACAATCACTAAAACATTTGGGTTAATGTTGTGGATTGTTGTTACTCCTTGAGTAACATAATTGTTCCAATCATTTGCATTTTCATTGGTTCCTCGTATCTCGTTTCGTAGGCTCATTCCAACCACCTAAATGTCATAACAAAAGAATGTTCTTTTGTTAGTGAAAAATTATAGAAGTCTTTAAATGTTTGAGTTTAGTTTCAAGAGTGTGAGAATTTTCCTTAATTTTTACGTACCGTTGGTTTCTTGGAAAAGCGTTGAGCAACTAAGCTAAGACCTTGTAGCCATTCTTGAGGGTCAAAATAGCGGTCTCCAAAAAATCCATTGCCATCGTCAAGGGAGCAACACCATCTTGGCTGACTCATATGGTTGTCGGCAATCACCATTAAACCACTCTCTCCAAGCACATCAACAACAGCTTCATAGGCTTCAGCAATAGTCTTGTTCAACACAAAAGGATTATATTGAGCCAATCCGGCTTTTGCTTGCTCTAAATCGAGAAGGTCAAAATTCTCTTCAACTGTCCTATTTGCATAACGAGTGAACATTTGAGTTGCATACGTGAGTCGTACACAATTAAACCTCAACTTGATTGCCTCATCTGCCAGCTCTTTTAATGGCCTGTGGTTGAGACCTTCTATTAGCATGCTCTGTGTGTGGGAAGGCCAATTCACGCACACAAGCTTCACTCGACGCCCTGTTGTCGAATCAACGATCCACCTTCCGTTTGTTGACAACGGTAAAGAATAAACAGAAGGAGGTAGAAGCACAAACAATGCTAGAAAAAGAACAACTTGAAAAGTTCTTCCCATTTTTTCTTCTCTTTTATGAATCGGGGTGAGAGAAGCATAGCCCAAAGGTTGCTTATATATCTCATTAATAGGTTGAAATTTGTTCAAAAGATCAAAGATCCATGTAACCGTGAAACTCCTTCCATTTTTCTTAATTCAGTTGCTTTGTTAATAAATTGTGTTTCCACCTTTGATAATTTGTTGAGTAATAAGCAAATTTTTCTAACAAAGCTAGCAACGTTCATACATATCTTGCCCACAGAACCAATATTTTAACATTATGGCCCCTTTTTCTTAAGTAAAACTCGAAGCTTATTCCTGTCTCAAATTAAAAGTTAAAATATTAGCTAACTACGTTTATGATAAGTTCTTATATAATACCCCCACTACATTTTTTTTGAGTTGGAGACATTTTTCCACCTAATAATTCACAAATGCATAAAATTATTTTAATAATCTAAATTAATAAAAATAAAATAGTTAACCTATCAAATTATTGAAAATATTTTATTTATACACTTTTCATACAATACTATGCATTTATTAATTTATTTATTTAGATTATGGTTGTCCGTCTCCAATTGCATAGTTAAAAAAAGATTTAAACGAGACTAGCACAAGCTAATATATATATACATATATATATTCTAGGGGAGAGAGTAGAATATTCTAAACGTTGAATTTTGATGTCGCATATTTAGAAGGTCCAAAGCATATAATAAATAAATTAAGATTGCTTTGTCTTTTTTACCGTAAACAATTCGACGTGTAGTTTGGCTATTCGATGAGTAGTTTGGTAAGAACTTATATTATGAGCCTCGATGCCCTCGCTTGAAAAATGTCACCTTTTGAATTTGATTGTGTGGAAGGAGAAAAAATGAAAGTCTATAATTTTATGTCCCCACTAATAAAAATAAATTCCCCACTAAATCTGGAGGATGAGATAAAATATACTACAAACCAACCCGTAAGATAAAATATCCTACTAACCAACTCCTACAAATAAGGAAAAAAAATATTAGCATATATAAGATATTTTCCATAACTAATTATTATAATACATTCTCTAAATATTATATCTCAATACTCTCCTCAAGTTGGAGAATGTATGTCAATCTGTCAATCACACTCAACTTGTCTTTCAAAAAATCAAATTGATGTCAAAGCTTTAGTAAGAACATCTGCCAATTGCATTTAAGTCGAAACATAACATGGTTTGATGATTCCAGCTTGTAACTTTTCTCGAACTATATGTCAATCTATTTCAATATGTTTCGTATGTTCGTGAAAAACTAGATTGGCTGCAATATGTATAATGGTGTTATTATAACACGTGCGGAAGCAATTTGGATCTTAGACACTCTAAGTATATCAATTATAGTAAATTAGCTAGCATATTCAAAAGCATTAAAACTCAATGAGTTTGAATACTAACCTTTTGTAGTTCAAATTCCTTTTTCTTCACAAACCAGTTTCGAACTACCACTAGTATCTTCCCTACTATTTTCCGGCCTTAGAACCGGATTGTGGAATCCGGTGAGTGACTAAACTTGATAGAAATTTAGTATATGTAAAGAGAGTTTTGAGAGATTTTCTCAAAGTTTTCACCAAGACTTTCCATGTACCTTATCACTCTATTTATAGTCATATGTTCATGCAAATTTGAGATTACCATTCACACTCAAAATTCCACTCAAATTTGTGGATTATGTGGCAAACATGCAAGTTTGGTTAAACCATATATTGACATTCAATATTCCACGAACTCAAACATGGATTTTTCCATTTAAGTGAAGTCAATATTTTAATTCAACAATTAAATTAAATAATTAATTTCAAATCAAAATAATATTAAAGGATTAATTAAACAATTTAATTAATATTTAACATTAAATCAAATGTCATTCCCAATCAATTTCGGCACATATGAATCCATATTCATAATTAAAATATTTAAATATTATTTAAATATCTCTAATTCTCTCTTTTTGTTTAATTCATAATTAAAACTAAATGTGGTTAAATATATCTTATATATTTAGCGTATATTCCCTAATTTGAATTTGAACATTTCGAACCCACTCGTCACACTGTTCTAAGGTTTAGTTCGATATGGTATAGCAGGGAATCTAATAGACTTACAGATCATAGGCTCCAACGATCCGAGATTAACCGGCTAAACTCATTAACCCTGTTAACCAACATTCGTTAACTACTAGGACACTCCACTATAGCCTAGTAGTTGCACTCCCCTCACTATAGATATATTTATGTCCATTTGATATAACCATGATTAGTAAGTTGATCATTCACAGGTTGTTCGTAACTAGAGTTGGGTCAATTTACCGTTTTACTCCTAAAGTTACTTCTTGTTCCTTAAGTCCCACTAATCCTCTAATGAACAATTGGTTTGTGGTCCATCCACCATACCGGATCCCTCTCGGGTCAATGAGAGGGTGGGGCCCCTTATTTAAGACCAAGAGTCAGTACTTAAGGGAACAACCTCTCTACTATCTCTAAAAGCGGGTAGGAGTGAATTCTATCTTGCACCCTATGTCTCCATCTATTCACTCTCACCCATGCAAATCTAAGGATAATTCTAAATAAATTGGAGTTCATAGTTATCTCAGGATTAAGGTCGAGTTACCTCGGTCATCAAGTGAAAAAATCAGTCTCAACAGTAAACGACATTATAAAGTGAGAGTGATTTTCTTCATGGTCCGATCTTAGGCAATACTCATTGCATAGGACGCCCCCACTCACATATCTCCACATGTACAATTTAGTAATCACATTGTTTATATCATATAGAAAAGTGGGTCACATTCATAGTGTCCCCAGGATAAAGTACTCAGCCTTATCCCTGTACTATAAATCATTTTGACTATATACTTGAACTTGATTCACTCTTAATGTCTTTACATATAGTTCAAGTAATCATACTATAGCCAGAGTATTCTTAGTTTATTGGATTTAGATTAATGATCGTAAAATTCACTTTATTCAGTAACGATATTTACTGAATAAACATCAATAATAACTTTATTGAAAATAGAATATGTTTTTGTTTGCAAACTATGAGTTTTAGCATAAAACCCAACAAACTCCCACTTGGACTAAAACTCTAGCGGGGTTTTATAATGTTGAGTAGAGAGAGACATAAATACTATAAACTAGGGCATCACGTACCCATGCATTTTCTCCCACCTGCCCTAGATTACATAACTCGTAGTTCTAGACTCACTAGATTCCCTTCAAACACTAGTCGTGAGGGGCTTCGTAAATGGATCAGCAATGTTGTGCTCTAAAGCTATCTTTCTGACGATCACATCTCCTGTTTGCACAATCTCCCTTATGAGATGATATTTGCGCTCAATATATTAATCTGTCAATTAACCGTCTGTATTTATTTGGATCATTCAACTTCTCTCCTGCTGTTTAAGAATGTTTCAAATTTTGCTCCATAGAAAATTTTTCTAGACGTGCTCTTGTAAGACCTATGTCTTGAAGAATGTCTAGAGCATACTTTCTTTGAGACAAAAATTTCTTTTCTAAACCGAGAAAATTCAATGCCTAGTAAATACTTCAAATTTCCTAAATCATTGATAAGAAATTTCTCGGGTAAACTAGTCTTGAGATGTTGAATTTCTTTGATATCAATTCCTGTCAACAAAATATCATCAACATAGATAAGAACTATAGTGAAAAAAAGTACCTTTACTCTTAGTAAATAAAGAGTAATCTGCTTTAGACTGCCTGTAGCCTGCATTTTGTATAGTGGTAGAGAATATGGAGAACCAATTGCGATAAGCCTGTTTTAATCCATAAAGAAATTTATGGAG